GGTTTAAAAGAGGATGGAGATAGACTGTTCTCAGTCGTGGCAGATGACAGAACAAGGATCAATGGTCTCAGGATGCAGCAAGGGAAGTTTAGGTTAGATATTAGGAAAAAGTTTCTTACCAGGAGAGTAGTAAAACACTGGATCAGGTTACCCAGAGAGGTGGTGGAAGCTCCATCCTTGGAGTTTTTTAAGACCCAGCTCATGCAGGTGAGAATGTGTGGTCCTACCTCTTTCTCCACCTGACCCCAAGGGGAAGGCCAGCCCAGTGTTTGGGGCACCGGCCTAAATCTTAGGAAACCAGGATTCAATTCCTTCACCTAGCACAGGCTCCTTGTCTGATGCTAGGCAAGGCATTAAGACTGTTTTTTAAAGGTATTGAATAATAATCCTACACAACACTGCAAGGCGTAAGCGTCTTAGATAGCTAGGACTCATTTTCTAAAGTGATTTCAGCACTTGACTGATTTTCAGTGAGACTGGAGTCCTGGGTACCTAAGGGCCCTTCTGTAGTGCTTCCATAGTCATCACAAGATCGCTGCTGAGCAACAAGCCTTGTTTGCCCTCTGCAGTCTCTGCTTCCTGAAAAATGTCATGTGATTGCTTTCTACAACATGACCAGGGAAGCTTTCAGGGTCCTGGTCTTCAACAGGCTCCCAAGGGCTCTTTGCCACTTAGGCCTTGTAATGGTGAGTTGAACAACCCTGACATACCATTAAAATCTGGACCTTCACCTGTGTGGGCCCTTCTGTGTAAGAACAGGAGTGTAACAGCACTGGAATGCCTCCCTGGAGTGTGTGAGAGTAAAGTTATTAAAGACAATGAGGTACTGACTGCAGTGATGGTGCTAACACAGAGAAGTCCTTCTCTTTGGGTGTTTCTGGTGAGAGAAGGGGGCAGTACTCCCCCACTGAGATGGCTAGCTGTGGGAAGGTAGTTCAGTAGGCAGGAAGAGAAAGTTGCCGGGAGATTTCCAAAGCAAGGTACAGCTGACTTCTGACCAGGTTAGCTATCAAATTAGGCTGAGCTGTAATAGCCTTTCCCTATTATTGGGCCCAGGGCTGGGAGGCACTTACCACAACTGGCTGCAGGAAGGTGATGAAGGTGCAGAAGCGGCCCCGCTCCTCAATGAGGGCCTTGCGCACAGCCTGTTTCTCGGTCTCTTCCAGAAGTAGGTACATGTCATTGACATCTTGAAGGGCATTGTCCAGCTGGGGCTGCAGGTCCCCCTTCCCTGCAAGGGAGATAAAGATAAGGCGATATTGTCCCTTTTCATTCCTAATCCCAGAGCCTTCTTCTATAGAACCTGAAGCCTTCAAGTGAGTTTCCCTTAATAAAGCCTGCTTGTTTTCCATACACTGCTGTCTACATGCCACCAACCACAGGACAATGAATGAGGACATGGGGGTATCAGCCCTTGGCCAAACACCACAACATTTTATATTAGCAGCCTCAGACAATAAGTCTTATTAGGGTCATGGCTACTGTATTTATAAACAGAAAGAAGTAGAAGGGGGTAGGCCACATACCCTATGAACTCTGGAATAACCACTTTCTGCTGAGGAAAGCCCTTTCAGGCAAACCCCATTCATTCCTCCATCATAGGTCCCAGCACGCTGAAGACCCAAACTGAGGGCCCTGTGTGGGAAAAGGCTACAAGACTCTGAATCTAACATTATTTCAATGGGGGAGTTATTGTGGAATAAAAGCCAAAGGCTGGCTTTTGTTCAGAATTCCCCCTCTCCCCTTCCCACCCCAGGGTCCCAGGAGGCAGGACATGGAGAGCATATGGTGGTAGGTTAGCTCATCATGAGCCGCCCCGCCAGCATGACATATAAAACAGGCCTCAGTGGAGCTGTATTTGGGATGATAGCTTGTTCAGAGCTACAGGGCTATGAAGGAGCCCAGCAGATGGGGGCAAACAATGCCTCTCTTTGTGCAATAGGGTTCCAAGACCTCCAGCCTCCATGTACCTCTTCACTGACTCCTTTCTACTTTGGTTTTCACAGCAGCAACAGCTGTGGGAAAGGACTGCAGGAAAGTATCATTTCAGGCTGTACCTTTGGAGTCTTCCACTCCTGCCCAACCACCTGAGTGTTTTTGGTTCAAGATGGACAGAGCCCTGGTTGGCCCAGTTGGGTATTGCACCCAAGCCAGTGTCAACCTCCATGAGGCATGCTGGCTCTTTAGAGTGGGCAAGGTCAAGACATGAGCCAAAAGGAACAGATCTTCTCTCTGCTCCTCCCAAGTCCATGGAAGTTTCATACTCACCTGGTAGTAGCTGCCTTTGCCAGACCCAAAACCCACCTGCCCCTCCCCCACCCTACTTTGCCCCAATATTTATAAACAAACATTTAAATTCATCCCTGGGACAGCTCCACTGAGGCCCATGGAGTTACAGTGAGGATGAATTTGGTTCAAGAGGTTACTACTGCCTCTTGTAGCTGGATAAGGACACAAGCTGGCAGGGTGTGTACAGCTCAGAGGGTTTGAGTGAGTCAGTTTATCAGAGGGAGCTAAAGTGTGACACATGCAATGGGAGCAGAAATTCAAAGGTGTTACGTGAAGGCAGGAACATTACACACACATGTACAGACACAGAAAGCAAAGCAGAGGCCAAGAAGCAAGCGCCTTTAGGTCAGAGGTTTCCACAAAGTCTGCCCAGCTGAGGGGCCACATGGTAGCCTTAATGAAACAGAGCAAATGGCCACTGCTGACATGTTCAGTATGGAAGGGCATCCCATGAGGACTACAAATCCCAGCATACAATGCTCAAGTTGTTCCAAGAAACCTAGGCTGAGCCCTGGATCCAGGGTTCTGCATTCCACATGGTTGCCCACCATTAGTGTTCAATAAGAGAGGGCTGATGGGACTGCTTTGGGCACCTCTGCCTTCGGCCATAAAGACACAAGCTCCAGTGAATTCCAACAAACCTCCCACCACCACAACTCCACATGCAAGAGAAGGCAAAGCCAGACAACCGAGAGGCCTGTTGGGTGACAAGGATGTGGGGGAAAGGGAGGAGAAAGATGGTGACGTGATGGATTCCTAGGATGAAACAATCAAGAGGGCAGCCAGGTGGCTTGGCTAGAGATACCTGACAAGACAGCAGGTGAATGCTGAGATCTCACAGCAACAGGGGGCCATCAGCTCTGCTCAGTGGGCAGACACGATGAAAATACCAGGCTCACAGGAGTGACAGAAAACAAGTTTGTGATAGTTCAGAATCCAGGCATAGATCCCAGGCTGAATGCCCCATGTGTCCTCTAAACTGGACCACACCAAACTCCCAGAACCTAAACACGCCTGCTCCAAAGGGTGGGCTCCAGATTCAGAGTGGGGAGGAGGGTTGTCATGGGCTAGCACCTGCTTCCTAGTCATGGGCACACAGTTCTGGTCTGGGCAGTTTGAAATGGGGAGCCCCTTAACAGCAGCTTCGTGCAGAGGGTTGTGTGGGGTGTTTCTGACCCATGGAGATGGCCTGCTTTTTCAGTTGAGAGGGCCTAGAACCACACTCCACAGTCCTGCTGGGGTAAACACATTGAGGCCAGGTGGTGTCTGAAAGGCTGTTTCTTATTTGTTCCTAAGGGAAACACTTATTCCTTTGACATCAAATACCCAGGGAGGGTGAAGTGGGGCAAGGAGCCCTGGTAACCTTTTTGATGAATGGCAGCTGCTGAAGATGAAGACAGAACTGCAGGGAAAAGGGAGATGTCCTTTAAGCTCCTGACCCCATTTTAAAATGGCTTCCCTATGATCAGTGGGGCAGGAAATGTGTCACTTGCTAAGACAGAGTGGGGCTTCCTCAGTGAAGGGATCTCAGCATTCACCATGTAGCTTAAAACATGCAAACCCTGCAGGAACATGAGGGGAGAAAGAGAATGGAGAGGAAGGCAGGGCTTGAAATGAAACCCAGGTCGCTGGACTTGTGGGGGCTGGGGTTTGACACTCCATGGGGTGCCCATGTCTTCTGGGTCTCGAATGCACTAGGGGTGTCTGTTTTGATAATGGACTCATCTTAGAGAGAGGGAAGGGCCTGCAGACAATATAGTATCAAACACAGTGGCTCCAATTGCTGGGGATGGGGCATGACCCCCTATCTCAGAAGGCTGCCTATCCCCTGCTTATGGATGGGGCATTCCTTTCCTGCTCCCCTGTGGGGTGGGGCAGAGAGGGTTAGAAGCAGTCTTCCCAAGGTCCCCCCAGCCTCAGGTCCCAAAACCTGCCTGCCTGTGATGACCATGGCACTATGGCACTATAATACAGAGGGGACAAAGAACCCATCTAGGAGAGACAAGAGTGGATGGGCACATTGTGAAGCAGCTGCTTCTGCCTTTCTGGAGTGACCCCTACCTCTAGGCCCCAATACAGCAAAGCTGGTTTGCCTTGGGTTTCCATGATAGCCCCCCCACAATGCCCATGTTGTGGCTCAGCCGGGTGGGCAAAAACAGGCCATCCTAGCCAGCCTGATACAAGGCAGCAACTATCTGGAACACTGTAAGTCTTAGAGGCTTGTTTCATTTCAAGCTCTGCTGAAGAGGGGAACACAGATAAATACAGCACAGATACTAGTGAAGGGGTGAGAGTGGAGGGTTTGCAGGGAGAGGGCTGGAGGAAGCTGGGTTGACGCTTGACTTACCAAGTAGCTCTACAGGAAGGATGTGGAAGGGAGGAAAGAAAAGAGAGAGGGAGACAGAGAGAAAGAGAGAGAAAAGAGAATGTGTGAAAGATAGGCTGATGTACAGAGAGTCATCACATTAAGATTGGGGGCCTCTGCCCCACCCACCCCACCAGGCCCAGCTGGCAAATCAGCCCCTCCTCCCCGCAGACTCTAATTCCCTCTCTGTGCTGCTCCCAGCCTGGGTGTGGACATCACAGCGAGCCCTGTGAATGACAGGCCACTCTCCTGCCTGTGGGGCATTTGATGACAGATCTAACTGCTTTCTCGTCCTGTGCTGGGTTCTACGGCTCATCAACAGCAGTAATAGTGCCACCTCTGTGCTCTTTTCCCCCTTGCCTGGTAGCAGTCAGGAGGAGGGATTTCCTGCAAGAAGTGGACTGGGCTCTTTCTGCTTGAAGAGGGAATTTTATGGGCACTTCTTTATCCAATTATTGCTGTTTTGGTCACAAGTCTCAGCTGGGGATTAGCACCCCATTGTGCCAGACCCATGCACATAACCGGCCAGCAGCTTTGGGACCCAGCACTGAATTGGGTACTGCTCACCTGATAACATCCTCCCTGCAGGTCCCTGTTAACACCCAGCTGGGGCTACCATGGCATGGGCTTCTCACATCAGTGCCTGTCAACACTACCTCAATCCCCACTCCCAGGACTGATGGTGCCAGTCATAATCCTCCACTACAGGTTCAGGAGAGGGTCAAAGTTGAGAAGATTCAATTTGAGAACAGTTTCCTGTTTCCTGGAGACTGCTACATGAGATATGTATATCAGTAGCAGAATTCTTCTAACTGGACCCAAAGGACAGAGGGACCCTAAGGTCACAGCTGTCACGCACCACGAATACAGCAAGCTTACTCACCCACTGCACCCCCTAAAAAGATGTGATTCACCATCAATGCTCAGATGTGAAGGACTAGACTGTCTGCTGACCCTCTGCCTTCAGGAAGGCTATTAACAATAGCATAGCCTTGCTCTTCACTACACCATGATTTAATGATGCTTCCTAGCTGAACCTGTGAGCTATAACAGAAGTTAGCATGCCCACCACTACTGATCCAGCCAGCTCTGGGATAAAGCAGGCTAGCTGCTTAGCAGTGTACACCATAAAATCCCTTGATGGGAAGGGGCCTGGGGGGTGTGGGGAGGGGTCAGGCATCAGCAGTATTGTGGCCAAGCTGAAGAACTCTTTAAGCCAACGCTAAGCCCCTACCCTCAATGGATTGCTGAGCTGCCTCTGGGCTGAGGTGCCATGCTGTGGCCCCGACTCTTTTTCATTAAGGAGCCATCAGTTAATGCCCCATCTCAAAAGCATAATGAACCCCCCCACCACCATTCTTTGCAGAGCTGAGGAGTTCCCAGGGTGTGAAACCAGCCCTGACCCAAGCTCAAGGGGGACAGATCCCCTTCCCCCTAAGAGCATAGCCAGGGCCTGGCAAGGCTCTTACCTTTGCGGGCTTTCTTCTGCAGCTTGAGCGTGTCAGAGGATTTCTTCTTTATCTCGTGGCGGGCACGCTTATATTCTGGGGGCACAGGATGAATCATGAAAGATGCCACATCCCCACTCCCCTATGCCATGTTGCACCCCTCCTGCCCCATATCACAGGGTCTAGATTGTCTCTCCTCCCACCCTTCCTCCTTGCTGTGCTCTCCCCAGCCACAAGGCCTCAGTGCTACTATGGTATATCCCCCACCATCCCT